TTTCCATTGCTTTTCTAGGATTTGTCCAGGTCGACGATGGCCGGAAGATCGTGTTTGTCACAGGTTTCCCTGTCCCGCTGACGATCATGAAATCAGATGGAGGTTTCACATACGACACATCTGACTTAGCTGCTCTTAAACACAGGCTGTGCGAAGAGAAGGCTGATATCCTTATTTATGTTGTCGATAGCGGCCAGGTGAGTATGCCAACCTTTGCTGTCACTGCTGGTACAGATCATCAAAAAGTGTGTTAAATGACAGATGCAACAGTAACATAGGTAGAAAGCCATAGGATGCTTAGTGTGGTGTATTTAGTCTTGTCCTCATCAGTGTAATGGTGAATCTAGTTTGGTCATGGCAGTCTCCACGAAGAGCACCTAGGCCTGATGATTGATTAAGGGGAGGCTCAGTTACCACTGGAAGTGGGTGAAGCCTGCCTCAGTAGATCTGGAGTGAGAATTGTACTGCTTATACTTGGGTCTCTTCCGTACCTGAGGAAAGGCAAGGTTGTCAGCTCTGTATCTGAGCAGTGATGGGAATTTGCTGGTTGCTGCTTCTGTAAGCCAGGAAAAGTCTTTGACAGGTTTCTGAACTTTCTGAAGTGGAATTTTTCTGTGAAGATAGAAACATTTTAAGTCTCATTGTGAAAGCAGCATTGTGAACGAGATAAAGCTGGGAAGAAAACTGTACCAGGAGGAGTGGCTGAGAACCACTTGTTGGTATTTGTTCCTTGCAGTCAGTGCATTTACAAACAGTGTTTGCAGCTGGACAGATGATCGGCTGGTATGATCCCAAAGTAACCAGAGTGGCCCACGCTGCCTTCGGAGTAGTGCTGGGAGAAGACAAGTAAGTCTTTGGATGTGGTTTTTCTTTTGTATGTGCTCTGAAGAGGACGTTTGAGTGAATGCGGAAGACTTGCTCTTGTTTGTTGACAAGTATTTCTGTGGTGTGCCAAAAAAAAAAAAAAAGCACCGCATCCATGCTGTTTTTTGTAACTGTGTGACTTCATTGTGTGTCATGGTCCTTGATCCATATAGTCACTAATGCCATGGTCAGGTTCCTTCTTGGGCCTGGCTTCGGCTGCTTGGCATGTGGGGAGGGGCACTGGGAATGGTGGGTGGAAGTGCAGTGGAAGCTGATGTGAATACTGGAGGCAACAACGGTAACGGCCATGATTTCCATTACCATCTATCTGCCTCATGGTGGATGAAATGAACGTTGGGAAAAGAACCTCTGTGTCCTGGTCTGTAAGCCAGGCCCTTGTGCTCCGGAGTTGTTCTTGTGTCTCTGTGAAGGTGTGGTTAAACCGGTGCGCTCTGACGGTCACATGCTGTTGTGGACTGGGTGGTTTTGCTGTAGCTTTGTTATAAAAGTAAAGGTGATTTGCTGTGCAGGGCAGGGGTCTGGCACTGGTATTGTATCCTGACTAATGTCTGGAACTGGGACGGTTCTGACTGTTGGAGCCTTCCTGGTCACCCCTCCCGGCCATCCCATGGGTGTTCTCTGAGATTGCCATGTTTTGTGGGAGTGTTTTGCCTCTTATGCACGTGGTCATTTTGGCTGTGTGTTTTCAGGAAGAAGTTCAAAACTCGTTCAGGGGATACAGTGCGTCTTATAGATCTGCTGGAAGAAGGGTTGAAACGAGCCATGGACAAGCTGAAAGACAAGGAACGGGACAAGGTAGTTGTGACAAATTGCTTATCTTTCCTGAGAACTTCCCAGATTTGTTCATAGACTTAGCGTTTCTGCATTCTGGATGTGAACTGAGAATATGGACACTGCCAGACTGCTCAGGAAATGCTGTTTGTTGTGTACACAATCAGTGTGATTATTTGATAGCAATTTGGACAAGGTGCTGTCATGGGGAAAGAAGAGCATCCTTGAGTACATAGCAGTCAGAAAATGTAAGCTGTGGGCAGCACGCTGGCCTCTGGCTGGTACTGCAGAGCTTTTTGAGGACGGGGGAGGAGAACTGGGCCTGGCAGGGTCACTGGCCTTATAGGTACCATGAGATCTCACTGGTGTGATGGCAACAGTGGTGACTGCCCCAGGATGGAGGAGTTGGTAGCAGAATATAAAGTTTCAGTCTCAGCCTGCTGGGCTACCGGTGACTTCTGGTGATGGATGGTTGGGGATGTACAAGGGGCTTTGGCATTCAGCCTTGGAGGCTGTGGCAGAGTTTGCTGGAAGCCCTTTGGTTAGTGAGATTTCTGTCTGTCTTGGATCCTGATGGCCTGGAGAGGACTGGACAGTGTGAGACATGGAATGGAACACAACAACCAAACTCTGCCCACGCACTGTGTGAGGCGGTGGAATTGGGAAGTGCAGCTCTTTGGTGCTGTGCAGCGTAGGGTGAAAGTCAAAGGTCCCTTTTAAAACAGGAACATGAGGAAGCACAGAAAAAAACCCACCTTGAAAATCTCCCAAGGGCTCACATGGTCAGACACAAAGCGTTTTGGCATGCTGATGGGGGGCTGTTCCACCGGAGAGGGGTTTTCTGAGTGTTTGGACTGTCCAAAATGCTCTATAAGGGTAGGAGGGCCATGTGTTTGTTATGTGTACGCACAGTTTGTAAGAAGCAGGAGCACAGTATGAGCATCAAACCTGTATGGCATCATGGGGCACAGAAGTCCTGCAGGTTTTCAGTAGATGGAGTCAGCCTTAACCTGGGCAGGGCTGCAGTGCCATTTGATTGCAGGGGAAGCGAGGGGCAGATGTGGGGTTATCTGGTGTCTTGAGGTGGAGAAGTGGGTATGAGCCTTTCACTGAGTACTACGTGGGTAAAATCCCCTCAGCAGCCTGGGCTTTCCTCTTGAGCTGTGCTGAGTAGCCAAGGCTGCGTGTTGCAGTTTGTGATGCCAGCGTAGCACTCTTCCTCATGACTGTTATCTGTTTTGAAATTGCAACAGGTCCTCACAGCAGAAGAGCTGAAAGCTGCCCAGACATCGGTTGCTTTTGGATGTATTAAATACGCAGATCTCTCCCACAACAGACTAAACGATTACGTATTCTCCTTTGACAAGATGCTGGATGACCGAGGAAACACAGCTGCGTATTTGCTGTATGCCTTCACACGGATCAGGTGGGTTGAGTGTGCTGGGAGTCACCTGGGGATGATCTCTGATGCTCTCTGCAGCTTTATCGCAAAGGGAGATGTGGGAAAAGGGGTGAGTTAGTTGCATCAGTGCTGTTAGGAGTGGTTGCTAAGAGAAGCCAGCTACACTGGTGTGCACCATAGGCAAAATTTTATTTGTCAGCGGAAATGGTGTCCTCTGCTATCTGAAACAGGGTTCCTCTGTGTGACATGCATCCTGGGCGTTTAGCTAGCAGAGAGGGAACTGTGAGAGTTTCTGGTAATTCCCTTAGAGTTTTTAGGTGGTTGCAGAGGGGTGAGCCTGCATTCTAGCAGCTGCTAACCACAGGTGTCGCCGTACCCCACACAGATTTTCTGGCACCCTGAGCCCTGGTTTGCTTGGCAGCATGGGCTGTCCGTGCCGATGCATCCCTCCCCGTTGCCCTGCAGTGCCCTGTTGGATCGCTCCACTGGCAGCGCCTCCCCATGCATTCCCAGGGCTGATTGCTCTCCTGGTAACCCAGGACCAGGCAAGCGAGGAGATCAGCGGGTGGCC